GTCCTGGCAGACCCTCTGCCACCTGGCTCTGAGCAGCCAGGAGCTGGACCCACAGGATGCGAGGTAATGCCCCGGCTCTGCCTTCCTCCTGCTCCTCCCCTCGTGGGCTGGGGGCCCTCCCAGTTGTTTTTTGAGGGTGGAGGGTCCCCCAGACCAAACTGTCTGGCTGTTCCACAGCCCTCAGTCTCCACTCTGGCTCCAGCCACATCCCCGTGCGTGGGCGATGCTGTGGGCATGGCAGCGCGCTGGGGACGTGGGACAGAACATCTCCTATGCGTGGCCTCGTGCCCCTGCCTCTAACACTCCCTTTGAGGGACTCAGCAGCTCTCGGTCACCTTCTTCCAGGCCAGCCATCGCCCTCTCTGCCATCATGCTGCTCACCCAGAAGGCGACATCTCTGTCCCTGGACATCCACGAAGGGCTCGTGCAGCTCCAGCTGGGCCAGGGGCTTCTGCAGCGTGCACTGCCTCTCTGCAGCTACCTGCTCTTCTTTCCAGCCCTTCTCGGTGGTCCCCTGTGCTCCTTCAGCAGGTTTTGGTCCCAGGTCCAGTCCTCAGGGTCTCTCCCCTTCCCACTGAGGGCCACTGGCCAGCGCTGTCTCTGTGCGCTGGCCCTGCGGGGTCTGGCCGTGGGGCTGGCCATGGGGCAGGGCTGTGTGGGCCTGGGCTGCCTGCCCCACACCTGGGCACAGGCCCTGCTCCGCAGGCTGGCCTTCTATCGGCACTAGGTGCTGGACGAGGCCCTGCTGGAGGCGGCGGGATTCGGGCCGGAGGCAGGACAAGGAGACCTTTCCTTCCATGACCTGTGGATGCTGGAGACCACCCACCGCCTGGCCGTCTTCACCCAGACCTGGAACAAGAGCACGTCCCGCTGGCTGAGGAGACTCATCTTCCAGTGCTGCCCGGCCCAGCCGCTCCTGGCCACCTTTGCCTTCTCTGCCTGGTGGCACAGCCTCCGGCCTGGGCAGGTCTTTGGTTCCCTGTGCTGGGCTGTCATGGTGGAGGCCGACTACCGCATCCATCCCTTCCTCAGTGCCTGGGCCACCTCCTGGGGTCTGAAGCTCCTGTACCGTGGCACAACATGGGTCTTCACGCAGCTCATCATCGCCTACATCCTGGTGGCTGTGGAGACTGAGAGCTTCTCCGTGCTCTGCCTGCTCTGGGCTTCCTGCCACAGCATCCTTCCCCTCTCCTACAGCCTCGCGCTGCTGCTGCTGCTGGCCAAGAAGCCGAAGCACAGCTGAGCCTCTCCTGGGCTAACTGGTGCAGCTGGTGGGGCACATCCCTGCACACGTGAGCACACAAGCAATCTCATATAACCTCCTCTCTGGAGAACCAGGTTGGCTTTTACTCCTGGGATATCCCCTGGCGTTGAGGGATGTGCTGAAGCAGGGAGGCGAGGGCACCAGACCACTGGGAAAAGGCTTCTAGCAGCACTGCCTGCCCAGGGTTTGTCTGGGGGCCTTGGGTCTCAGCCTCCTCTCCCATAGGAAGCACACAACCTCCCCACCAAACTCGTCTATGCTACAAATGCACTGGGGGCAGCACAGATGGAACACCCCACTTTCCCCCCTGCCCCAGCAGTACTACCAAGAGGCATGGGTCTGTGGTGCTCCTCCAGTTGCTCCTCAGCACTGTCCCTGTGGCCTTTGGACCCCAAACTGTGTTCCCAGTTAGACGTTTCCTGCAATACCCACCCCCAGCCAAGTGGGTGACATGCTTGGTCCCCAGGTCAGCTGTGTCCACTGCCACACGGGGAAGAAGGAGGATCCATCCCCTCCACCGTTCTTGCAGAGAATCCTGGGCACGAGGGCAAGAATACCTGCTAGGAAAAGGGGGGCTACTGCCCATGGTGTGCTGAGGACAGCACGGGCAAGGGGGAGTAAGCCAGAACAGTGCTCAGGCTCAGCTGTGGCATTCAACGAAGGCTTATGTTTCGCTTTCCTCACAAAGATACACAGCAGAAACCCTAATGCACTTCTCCAGTTCACGCACTGGCGTAGGACCCAAAAGCCTGGGGCTGTTTAGGCTGGAGAAGCATGAGCTACCATAGGGGAAGACATCAGAAAAGCATGGAGCTAAAGGTTTCTGTTTATATGAGAGCAAGAAGCCACCCACCAAATCTCAAAATAATACAGCTGAAAATGCTACAGGACTATTGTTGGCCTCTGGTCTGCCAGACATGCTGCTCAGGGTACCAGGACCGACACCAGAACCAGTCTCAAGTGCCCAAACTCAAAGGAAAGCATTTTGATCAGGTTACCATCCCATGCCGTGCAGGCCCTGTGCCAACACCTGTATCAGTGTTTGTCACTAAACTGAAACTCAGTACGCAAAATGGATCCAACCTTGGTTTTTTCTGGGTTGGTTGGATGTTTGGCCACTTCTTGAGTCCCACTGAGTAGGCAACCCAAGCCCCGCAAGCCATTTGCTCCTCATATAATCTTCCTGTTGCCAGCACAGCTTAGATTTGTCACGTCCAGACCCTGTCTCCTTCAGTGCTGTCCTGCAGACCTGCCTCTAACTTATTCCGTATATCCATGCTTAGAAGCTGAGTCATCTCTTCATCTTATCTCTGAAAAACACGCTGGGCTCCTTCAGGCAGGCTCTCCAGGTGTTTCATCACTCCGCTGGACTGTGTCATGTGTGGACATGCAGCAAGCCAGGGACAGACTTTCCAGGGTGACGTGTCCAGGATGGTCCACAGGACAGGGGTTCCCAAGCCAGAAGGCTCCTGCCACCTATGTTGGAGGGAAGTGGGCCCAAGAGTCAGATGCAAGAAAGCCAGTGTATTAAAAAAATCCCCAACGGCCACAGTTGGAGCGATCCCACATTCTTTCAGCAGGCAGGGACGTGCATGGCCTCCTCCCTAAGGGGATCGGGGAAATTCATTGCAAATGGGTGCCCAGCCAAGGAACCATCCCCTCCCATCAGCAGCAACCATAGCCAAACAGATTAAAAAAAAAAAAAAAAAAATCCAGGGGTGAGAAGCCTGGAGAAGATTCACAGAAAGTGTATGAAATGTCAAAAAACCTGGAGAATTAAAATTCCCCCAAGAGAACAGGCTGGATCTGGAGGTGAATCAAGGCTGGAGGGAAGCGCTCATGAATTTCTCCCCCCTTTGAGCTGAGAGGGGGGTTGCTCAGCTAGTGACACCCTGTCTCAGCTAAGCTGATGCTGGGCTCTCTCCATGTGTCCCAAACCTACCTCTTCTCCAAGGGCTGCAGAACTGGTGCCAGGAGCAAGGCAGCTCATCTCTGCCCCATGTTGGGGTGGAAGAGTAAAAGCAGCCAACAACCTTTTGGAAAAAATTAGTTTCTCTGAGCAGCAGCACAGCCTCTCTACCAAGCTGAGTGTCTGCTGTATGTCTGGATAGAGGGAAAGGGGCTGGAGGGAGCCAGGCCAGCTTCTCCCTCTTCTGCCATGCTGCTCTCATGGGGCATCTGTTGGAGGAGCATCTTGCAGTGCACCCAGCCCTATGAATTTCTAATTCAAACACCAGCAGCAATTAGACCCTCCCAGATTACAGGCCAGTGACCCTACCCTTTCACATCCCAGCTCAGCTCTTTATAAAGGGGTTAAATCACTGCTAGACACAAGGGACAGGTGAATTACCAGGTGAAAGATGGGAAAAGCAAAGCAACCTGGCTCTGACTTCCCCCTCAAGGCCTTGGAGGTGAATTGGGGATTTTTCCATTTCGTTAACTTTACAAGGGGTAATTCCCAGCATGCAGCATGATTCTCGTGAACAGACCCATCGTGGGCTCTCTCTCACCCCTTCACAACCGACAGCCTGTGTGTCAGCACCACTACACAGGAAAGTCACGCTGTATTAGTATCTAATGAAGATTCAGCTGATATTGAATTGCCCACAGTGGAAAGTACAGCTGATACACAGAAACAAGCAAGATTTTTTGTTTTTAAAGTGAGAAGCAAAGTGGAATCTAAAAACCATGAAAGATGTGAATTTGAAAGTACCACCTGATTCTCCTTTGCAAAGGAGAACTATGTGAATTGCTCCTGCTCTCCAGGAGAAGCAGCCAACCATTCATCCCTGCCAGCCACTCCGGAGAGCAGTGGTGTTCCTGGGCAAACAGGCTCTGATGCTTTAGGGAGGGTGGGGATCAAAGGACTGTCCCACAGGCACAGAAATCAACTCAAGAGCATTGAGTTCATTAGAAACGTGCACACACACAGGCAGGAGTTTATTAGTCCACAGACCTACCATACCAAAAAAAAAAAAATCCCCCAAAATAGGGGTAGGTTCCCAGTTTTGCCTGCTTGCAAATTAACAGTGCTGAGAGTACTAAACACGTCTCGTGCACTCTGATCAAAGTGCAGGGCAGGAGCTGAGATTCAAGCCTCTTGCATGTAAAGGAGCTGTGTACCTTTTGCCGCAAGGCAACCAGGAGCCCTCCAAGACACATCCAACGTCAAAGCAGCTGCAGCAGTTTTAACGTGTGCGAGAGTGAGGCCGGCTCAGCAGACGCTAAGTACTGGCAGCACAGCCAGTCCTCCAGTTCGATGCTCCGCTCCGTGTCCACAGCCCTCTCCGCGAACTTCATCATGAGCAGGGCACGCTTCATGTCCACCCAGTTCTGGAGCACCCGGCGCAGGGCTTCCTCGTGGCTGAGGGGCTGCTCGGTGAGGTCCTTCCGCGGCCCCCAGAGCAGACACTGCAGCATCCGCTTGGCCTCGGTGATCCGCACACGCTTGATGGGATCCGCTTCCAGTAGCAGGTGGGCAAGCTGCTGGAGCCCCCGGGAATAGATGGAGAGGCTGGGCAGAGCAGGGAGGTCCTCAGGGCTGTACTCCTGCTCCCTGAGGTGCACCTTCTCCTCGAAGGGGTTGGGCTGGTGCAGCAGCTCATAGATGAGAATGCCAGTCTGAAACTCGTCAAACTTCTTGTACTGAGAAGCTGACACAATCTCCGGGGCCAGTCGGGCCTGACTCTTCTTCAGTTTGGAGTCTCCAGTTCCTGGCTTCTGTTTGGCTTTCAAAAAATTGCTGATGATGAGGCGGGGTAGGTGTTTGTCATCTTTGGCTTTCACACAGCTCATGGGGGGCTTGCAGGGGACAAGCAGGAGGTTCTCCAGGCACAGGTCACGATGGATGATGCCGTGCTCTTTGAGATGTTCCAGGCCATTGCAGAGCTGGAGGAGCAAGAAGCAAACACGACGTTCGTACAGCTCAGGCTTGGCTTGGTGCAATGTCACCGAGTCCCTCACAAAGTCGGCAGTGGTCTGGCTCGGCACCTCCCGGGTAATGACCACCACGCAGTCGTGCTCACTGGTGGTGCGAGAGGGATGGAGGCCATCCCCAGGCATGTTTTTCCCCACATAGGAGGCCAGCAGCATGCTGGAGGGAACAGAAGCCACAAAATGCCCACAGTCCTGCTGGATGTTGAAGTGGACCGGCACTGCAGGGCTGCAGTATGAAGCAGCCACCTTGGACTCCTGAATTTTACAAATCTGTGACGAGAGACCAAAAGAAAAGTCTTGTCAGTCAGTGACAGAAATAGGGCAGAGACCAGAAGCTCAGGGGTGGGTTCCTAAGCTGGGATGCGCGGATGCTAAAGAAGACACATGTGACATGGCTGCGAGGGTGGCCCTGTTTGGAGTGAGGGGTGGACAGAGACCTCCAGCACCTTCTTCCCAACTAACCTTTCTCTGGTCCTGAACCCTGGAGGCACTTTCGCATCCTTCTCAACCACCCAGCTTCCTTGTGTCATCGACTACTCTCAAACCCCTGATCAAGGGCTGAGGGAAAGCAGCAACAACCTGTACTCATCAGCACAGGGAAAAAACACTGGAGAGAAAGTGGGAGCTCACAACAGGCTTACAAACATGTGAGAGCAAACTCAAGGGAAAAAAAGCATTTTACAATCTGGGTTCTCTTAAACCCATGTGACTTTTATCTTCGTTTTGTTCTCTATTTTAGCTTTATGACTGCATTAAAGACTAAACAAACTCAAACCCAGGTTTACTAGAGGAGTATCCATTAGCTTATGGGGCCTTCTGGCGTTTGTATTAGACACACTTTTTTTTTTCGTGTTATTTAGCGATGTATTTATATCTCACCCACAGGAATCAGCAACAGGCTGAAACTCGGCATAAAAGGTTTCAAACCCTGGAGCGTGCCACTGCCAGTCACAGCATGCGTGCAAAATCGGACAAGAAATCAATTTTGCCTCCGAGTTAAAATAAATGGCAAGAATAGAGAGGAGCTGGAGAAGTGGGCTGCTTTTGTATTTCTGTAGCAAGGGTTGGAATCTAGGCATTTGCAGGTAATTCACTCAGATGAGTCGATACTGTGGAGACGGGGCATTTCAAATCTCTATTGTCCTCTCTTTTCTAAACAAAAATACCCTGCCATGGCTGCACGCTTATTTTGTGGAAAGACAAGCCTTGGAGAGCTGGGCAGAATGCAGATTAATGCAGGGTGCTGCAGAGAGATGCAGAAGGTCCCCAAAGGCAGAAGAGGCCATCCAGCCCTGTTCCTCCCCACACAGGGAATGTGTTAGGAAAAGGGGAGGAACTCCTGCAAGAGGGGAGTCTGTGGAAGAATAACTGCAACCAAAGGAAGACAGGGAGATCTTCCCTGGCCAGCCATTCTTCATGACTTTGGCTGCACCAGAGGCATCCTGCATGCAGCAAGCTCCAAGTAGGAGCCTGGGGCTGGCTTAGTCACGCATCTTTAAGCGGAGAAAGAAGCCAAGGCATGGAGTATGTCTTGGCTTAATTCCTCTAAAGCCATTTCATGTAACCCTGGCTCTTTCTAACTGTTTGATACGTATCCGTGTCTGCCTGTGCACAGCACAAACTCTGGCTCCTGCTGCTTAGCAGGCTCCTTGGCTCAAGTCTGATCTTCTGCCCATTTTGAGCTTTACAAGTCTAATTTTAACTACAGCTCTGTAATCTCTCATGTCAGAAAAATCTGTACCAGAAGCCAGGAGGGACAGCTAGGAATCAGCCAGTTGTAAAGTTTCACAATTATTCTCTATTTCGTCTACCAAAAGGAACGTGGCACACAGGAACATTGCAGGAGGTGTACCCATGCACGTGTGTAAATGTACATGCGACTTCACTTTACACTGGCACAGAGTGCAGCCCTGTTGGGGTGGTTTTGGCTTTGTTAAGGTGCTCTGCAACATGCCAAGGGCACAGAGTAAGCCCACATCACATGCAGGGACACAAGTGCAGTGCCATTAAGAGGCTGAAATACACTGTTTCTGCCTTGGGAAGAATTCATGCACTACAGCCGTAGAACCACGTATTGAAAAGGAGCACACCAGTTCACCACACATTTCTCAGGTTGTGTGAAGAAATGTGGATTTAGGTATTATATGCAAGAGAACCTGCTGTTTTGAGTGCTGGACTAGGGGTATTGGTGCAAGACCTCCTCTAACTCTATTCTGGTTATTTACAGCCCCGCTGTTGGGTTGTCTGTATTTCCTTTAGAATATCAACTGGCTTTAAAGCTACCACTTAACTGAAACATCCCCCTGGGGTTCATAATGGTGGAAATGATTCAACAGAGATTTTTGCTTAATGCTTAATGCATCCCCGACAGTGCTTTTTTGGGAATTACTTTAGGTTTTGAAAACAACCTGAAGAGTAAGCAGCAATGAGATGCCCCTAGCATTGTCAGAATAGAAATTAAAGACTCTGTATTCAAATAGTAACATGGGTCAAGAACCCCATATCCATGGGACGTGCGTGAAATGGGTTGGATAAGGTTACTTATCCAGGTTTCAAAGAGCTGAACTATTGCACCTCAAGTTTCCATTTCAAACATGGATCCCACAGAGTTACAGGAAAATATTTCAGACCTGACTTTAACAGTATGTCTAGGTCAGCCTTGCACTGTTTAATTGACATCTGCAATATCTTAACAGCGCCTGTAGTTTCGAGATCATATAAGCACTTACACGGTTTCTGGGTCAGACCTGCCACTTAAAAGGCAGGCAGAGGCAAACACGCTGTCTTTTGAACAGCCTTTCATCAGCTTGTGCCATCAGAGGAGAATGCCTCTGAGTTTACAACTCAGTATTTGCACAAAGACTTTTTAGAGAGAAACTGGTTGGGTTGCAGACCCTACTAGTCTGCAGCAATAAGCATCTGACTGGTATTTGTTACAATGAAAACTACTTCTCCAGATTAACCTTTGCAAGGGGCAGGGGAAAAGTGGCAATTTTGGAAGGGGTTTTGCTTGCCAAACTTCACCTGTGAGAAAGACAAGCAGAGAGAACAGACAATCACGTGCTGATGGTGCGTCTCAAAGGCATACCACTCAGTGGGCTTCCCACCCTCTCATTCAAATCCATACACCAGAAAGGGAGAAAAGAAGCTAGAAGGTTCAGTCCCAGCTCAGCTACAGAGCCCCATGCAGCCTTGAACCCTGCAGCTCTTTGCCTCAACCTCCCAACTGGAAGATGGAGAAGAGCCTGGGTACCTCCTGGATGTGGGCTTACCTTCACAGCGTAGGTGGTCGAAGGGTCTTTGGAGCAGGTGGCACAGTAATAGATTGCATCGCCCGAATCGCAGCAGGGCTTGTTGCACGTCAGCTTGAAGAGCGACCAGTTGTTCTCGCTGAAGTGCAGCTCGTTCTTTTGTTCCCGCATGAAGCAGTCCTCACACTTGGCAACCAGACGGCGCAAGGATTCCGCGTAGAGGGCCCCCAGCTTGGCGTACACCCCCTCCTTGCTGTCAATGTTGCTCAGGAGGTTGTGGAGCTGCAGGCTGGAGCCTGATGACACCTGGCTGGACACGCTGAGCTGGGAGGAGGAAAGGGACTGGGGGTTTCTGCTGGGGATGCAAGCCCCTGTGCTCTTGCCAGTGGCTGAGCCCCAGTAGCCATTTCCTTTGGAGCCTTTCTCCAAAGACTCAGAGGAGGAGAACGTGCCAGGGCGGCCACCTAAGTTGGCTGGGTGGACGAAGGGAGGCTCCTCTCGCAGGCAGACATTGCTCTCAGAGTGGCTGACATTCAGCCGAGGGCTGGCAGTATCGGCTGCTCTGCCTGAAAACGCTTGTCCCCCAAAAAAGCCATCCGGGGAGGACACCGTTCTGCTCACTGTCTTCTTCTGAGGCAGAGGGGGTGGGCAGCTGGGGGCAGAGGAGGGACCATCCTCACCGGAGGCAGGAAGGAAAGGGACGGGAGGAAACACTCGGCTCTCAGCTGGAGGGGGCGAGTGGTTCGGCTCAGACGAGCGCCCTAGGAGACAGGGACACACAAAAGGATGCTGTGAGTGGCCCTTGTCCCTCTCCATGTCCCTGCCATCCCCACAGGCTACCTCTCCTGGGGCTGTGGCTGGGAACAAAGCAGCAGGCCAGGTGACATCTGAACCCAGCACATACTCCTCATCAATTCATGAGTGCAAATCTTCGCTGAGGGGGTTAGGGATTTAACCCGGTTTAATACAGCAGGTTTGCAAAGCAGCCTGCAACCAGCCATCTAGAGGAATGCCCCCCCCAAACCACTGCTATGTGAACCGCATACACAGTGCTAAAAAGCTAGTACAGGCAAAACATTTAAGCTGTGGTGTCATCCAGACGGAGATAAGAATGAAGCACGCAGATGTGAGAACAATCTCTTGAACAAAGCTGGTTTCACCTGGGAGCTGCCACCAAGCACTTCAGCTTTTCCTCCTGAAAAATCTGGCCAACCCCGCTGCTGCCTGTCCCCCAGCTTATTGCCGGACCTCTTTGCTTGGAGAATGGGGATAGCAGCTGTTTCCCTACCCTGTCCAGGCTGGAGACAGTTGCATGTCATGGAAGAAGAGGAAGGAAAAATAAAATTAAAAAAAGATTATTTGACATTGAAATAAAGAGCAATAATTTCAGGTCATGGAGACAGAACGAATGTGGAGTAGAGTGGTCTGCAGGGGAAGGTAAAAGTAGAGACATAATTATTTCAGAGAATTTTCTACATCACTTGCATGACACGTGGGACTCTGGATTTACTTGAGCTCTGCTAACACCAGCATAGACGTTGAAAGGTGCACGGTGGGGTTTTGCTCCAGGCAAGCCCAGCCAACAGTGGGATCTATTGCTTTATTTGAACCCAGCTTCCAAAGCTGCAGAGTGGTTGCAAGCCATCCTTCCTCCTCACACAGCTGCTGGTGAGGGTTTAGCTGCCAGCAGGCACTTCCTCACTGTGGCTTTCTGCTTGCCCCACAGGAACGCCCCAGGGTGTTTCATGCCAGCCCGCAGCTAGCACTTTCTCCATCACAACGCCAGTGGCTCACCAGCTCTCATGCACAACCTCCGAAAGCAGAGGCTCGGATCCCCGAGCTCCCAGCCTGTCCTGGCGTGTCTGTGCCATGTCACATGCAGGCTCCAAGCCACACCAGTTGTGCCAGAGCAGTGATCCTTGTTAGCTCCTCACCACCCCAGACCGCACGAGGTCAGGCAGGTCCCCTCATTCTCAGCTGCCAGAGTGGATGCTGCCATCATCTGTCCCAGTCTCCCCACCGGTTTTGTAGTAATGATTTGAATTTTCATTTGTCGCTTCTGCTGCCAAGGCTACCTGTGTGCTCCCGCTGCAACACCCCCTATCCCAAGAAGCCCCAGGCAGGGATCACTCAGCATGGCATCTCTTGCCACTTCCAGTCCAAGGGGCTTTGACAGAGGACATAGCCAAGAGAAATTCTTTGGTGTGCAGCCTGAGAGCAACTCAACAGAGGCACCTCTGCCAGGACACGCAGCCAAATCCCCATTTCAAGAGGTAAGATTTACTTGACAGAGCCTTACGGAACAAATGTCAGTGCTGGAAGCTTTGGCAACTGGTCCACATGCCCAGCCCACAAATGCCAAACTGTTCTTACTTTTTTTTTTTTTTTTTAAAATGTGCTGCGGGCTCTGCCCCAAGCACAGGGTAACGAATGAAACCCTTTCACAATTTTCCTAACAGTGCTCTGCACTTTCAGCATAGAGAACTTCTGCACGTCAAGGGTTTAAAAGCTCCCTCCCCTCCACATTTTAACATTGGACAGCATAGCCAGTTAATTGGAGCTCACCTCACTCAGTGACTGACTGCATAGCTTCTTGCTTGCATCAGCAAGAAAAATTGCATTTGGGTTATTCATTTAAAAACGCAGCTTTCACTGAGATGAACTGAAACAGTTGCTTCTGTTAGTGGAGGCAGAGAAATCCTCTTGTCCCATGTCATTTTTGACAGCAAATTGCTTCTGTGCCCAGCAAGTAAAGCCCCAACATCTGTGAGTTTTTCTTCCCCCTGTACAATTTCCTGGCATGGTCTCACTCTCAGACTCCAAGTTAGTGGTGGAAAAAATGGAGTTTCCAGAGCTCTGGCTCTTAATTTTATTGCTGCACATTGTTGCTCTTGGAAACACAGAACTTCCACTACATGAAGGTTGCTTTTGCAAAGGAAATACTTTCTGAGCTGCTGAACATGTTCGTGCATGTCCAAGTTACGCACTGATGAAAAAAGTGACTTCATATTAAGTATTTTTTTAATCTTGGTTAAACGAGTGCAGGCAGATTTTTTTTACTCTTCAAGAAATAACTGGGAATGCAACAAGAGGGAGAGAGATCACCTCTAGCACAAGACTCCTGCTGGTACTCCTCAAATCCAGGGAGGACTTTCTATGGCAGGGCTACTTGTGATTTTGTGCAATGTATGAAGCACAAGCAAGATAAGGACAATGGCTTTAAGATGGAGGTTTTATCCAGGCAAGAGGAGAGCCAGAGGATGAATGATTTTGGCACTTGCCAAATGAAAGAGGAAAAAACCCCTGATGTTGGCTTGTCCCTGCCACATTTTTCTGAAGTGCATCAAGAGGCAGAAGGATAGGAGAAGCAGAAAGATGAAGGGTTACTGGGGGAAACTCAGTGACGGGACCATCATGGTCCCTGCTCTGAAGATGCTGCACCAGCAGTGGGACTCAGGATGGAGGTAACTCCTTCCTCAGCTCCGATGCTAGCTCTCCCACCCCAATGGTCACTTACTGCCATCGCTGCCAGTCTGTGTGTCCGAGTCGAGGCTGTCAGTGGAGCCGGCTGTGAAGGTGACGTGGACGCTCCTGAAAGGTGGGCTGAGGCTCTCAGCAGAGCTGTTGCTGACCCTCTCCAACTCAGCGTTATTCGGGTTCATTTTCAGGGCGTGCCTAGAGAGAGTGAAAGGGAAGAGTCAGGAGACGGATGGCAAAAGATACCCTGCATGTACTTGTGCATGGAAACTCAACCTAAGAGCAGCCTTAGCCTGGCCCCTGCCCATCAGTACAGACACTGTACAGCCTTTTACCACACCCTAGTACCTCATTCCTTGACACTTTTTTTTTTTTCCTTTCTCCAGCACCTGGGGATTGCATCCCACTGACAATGAGCAGGTTGTAGCCTTGCAGCCCCCATGCCAGCCCCCAAGACAAACCAGCTGTGCCTGAGCAGAGAGAGAACCACTGAGCCAACAGCATCCAGCCCTAGTCCGTGCCTCCTTTGCCTAGCACATGGTCTTGGACCACATCCCACCTTGGCCACCGTCACTGGGAAGTGGGGATGCACCAGTGGTTTGCCTTCAGTAAAGCTGTCAAGGGAAGGGAGTGGCATCACTCTCCTGTTTTACAGAAAGGCAGGTTGAGCGTGTGTGTCAGAACCCAATTCCTCCACGGCAGAGGCATAAGCGGAAGAAGAGTCCGTCCTTAGCAGCTGTTGTCTCAGTGCATCACAGGAACAACTGACACCTCCCGAAAGAAGAAGCCCCTCTGCAGAAAACAAGCGTCTGCCAAACTCAGGACCTACCACACAGCTTTTAATTCAAGACCTACAATTTTCCATGCAGCTTCCATTTAAATAACCAACCAACAAACCAACCATAAATGGGGCTTCTAACCTGCCAGGTCCCAGTTTAAGTGATCAGTTGTAGGCAAGCAGGACTTATTCGCTAAGATAAAGAATTTCCCCTGCATTTTCTTCATTTTTTCCTCCTTGGGAAACAACAGAAACTGTTGAAATCAGGCAGCACATCAGAGCAGGAACACTCCTAGCTTGGGTACAGTTCAGACTCTATCAGCCAGCAAACGAAGGTTATCGGTCCACATTTTTTACGTAAATCTGACAATCTGCTGATAAAATTTAACACGCTGTTGATTAAGAATGTGAAAAGGTTAGTGGCAGACTTGTAAAGCAGAAAAAGGACTTCCACCAGCTATCTCACTGGAAGGTATCCGGCGTTTCCTAATCAGACGGCTGAATGGCTGCTGAGAAAGACAAACAAAAGACATGCACGACCGTTGTCTTGTGGCCCCCTGTTCACGCACATGGGATCCCTCCTCTTCCCGAAACCCCAAGCACAGCAAATGCCACAAGCAATTTTATTTGAAGATAGATTGAGAAATGTTTCATTCCATATCCAGACAAAGCACTTACTCTCGTGTCCACACCACCACATGGAGAGCAGAGTGTATGAAAAGCCCGGAAGAAACTTCTGCCAGACTTCCTCATTTGCCTGGGCAGCCTCGGTCTAAAAATACTCAGGGGCTGGTGAAAATAAGGCTCTAAAAACCACCTTAGGTATAACTCAGCAGAGACACTAGTCTTGCATCAGGATAAATTGACCACAGCAAGCCTCTTGTGGATGACTTACAAAACTTTGCAATGCACCACAGAAGTCACAGTTAAAAAATCAAAAGAGAGAGAGTGTGAGAGACACACTGAGGTTTTTAGCTCTGTTACGATTAATGCTGTCAACTGGACTTTAATACTTTTTTTTTTTTATTATAAAGATATATCTTTATCCTACAACTTTCCCAGACGTTTAACTTTTAGTAATTG